GCTGCTGTGACCTTCGATGCATGCAATATTGGACTCCAGGACCATACAGGTGTGACCCCTGGACGTATGGGCCCAAGGTCTAAATCATTTGCACACCGGTTGTCCATCTTTTTCCCAAGTCATGAATCGCTCAAGAAGGGAGGCTCTCAGTGGTCTTCATTATGGACTGGAGAAGGATACATCGCAGAGTTTCATAGGTTGTTGAAAGGCATGGACGACGATGAGAAGACCCTCTTGCAAGATGGACTTGAAGATATATTTTCCAACCTTCACTGTCTTCCTGCAAGCACCACTGCAGCTGTATGGCGTGTCAAACAATCAGCCATAGTCTTCGTCACTAATCCCGCATTCTACAAAATTGAATGCTTAGGGAGAGCTGGTGAAAGTCGAAGAGGACCTGTTGTGCGCCGCCCAGTCAATGTAATCAAGGGAAAGCGCATTTTCACAGCGGACCTAATGGATGTCATGCCTTTCGATGCCCTTGGAGCTCTTAGAAAGCGGTCTGACAGGCAGAAACGCAGGGACCTTCATAAAAAACTAACCAAGGCAAACAAGCACAAGAGGGTCCCACCTCCCCCACGTTCCCGCACACGGAGTAGACCATTTCCTCTGTCTAGCCCCAAACCTGTATGTGATGATACAATGGATGTAGATGACTAGCACGTGATCCTTGTGCATCACATACGATAGTCAGCCATTTATATGTACTGTTAGCAAATGTATAGCCAATATTCTCTCTGATATGACCTGATTTCATAGACATAGCGAGCAATAATGTAAAAGTGAATTTATTTGTCACATCAATAATTTTTAGCGATAAAGGCAATAAAGCTAAGGTAAGTAAGACAATTGCATTTCTGCAGTCCAGTCCTTCCTGTTTCTTCCCAATATATTCAAATGCCTGGATATTGATGTACTAAACAAGCCACCAGGTCATCCTCATATAGAGACCAGAAGCCTTTCCTGGTAGGTCGGAGCACATTGTTCACGTGTTGCCACATTCCTGAGGTTATATTTGTATTTTTGCTGCTTACATGACGGGATATACAATTGCAAGGTGATCTGGGACAGTCATAGTTAGTCAATATCTTGGCTGTCCAGAAGCAAAAATAGTACGCACCACTTTGAACCACCTCTTCTCTCATCTTTAATTCATGTCCTTGATAGGGGTCACTGCAGTCTGTGATCTAATAGATGGATGCACATGTCCGGTGATAGAATGGACAACTATCCTGGATTACCTGGCTACAGGTTATATCTCCAAGGATATTGCCCTCTGTGGAACAGGTGGAAGAGGCAGGAAGTGACAGGCAGAAACGCAGGGACCTTCACAAGATATTAACCAAGGCAAACAAGCACAAGAGGGTCCCTCCTCCCCCGCGTCCCCGCACACAAAGCAGACCATTTCCTCTGTCTAGGCACCATGGCTCTGAATAGATGTAGACATGTAGTCCTTGATCTTTGGAAGTGAAGCATCATACAGCATTCTCGGGCATTCATGCACACTATCATTAACTGTATAGCCAATATTTACTATAATGTTACCTGATCTTACATTGGTCGCTCTCAGGACATTGGAACACAAAGAGAAAGAGGAGGAGGATGTCATATTGGACCAGGTAGGGCACTGTCAAATGTCTGTTTCATCACCAGACACATGCATCCATTATTGATGTAGTCCAAGTTATTGATCATGGAAAATGAATGTTCAAGAACATTGAATTCACTGGTTAGTAAAAGCAACATTTGTGAGTTACATTGAGTTATTTCATAGCATCCTCTAGTTATACCTTCTTCCACTAACCAAATAGCTTCTGGGGTATAATTTCATGACTTTACCATTCATACTGCTACTCATTCAGTTTCTTGTACCCTCTTTCTCTTTCCTACTACTCTACCCTGTAAGGCTTAATGTCACTTCCTTCTGCCCTTCATTTTCACTACCTTGCAATTATCACATTTCACCTGTTGTTGGTGGGAACAGTGATGAACAAGACAGGTGGATTCAAGGTCTGAGATCACTATTTTCACCTTTCTCCCATCTCACCTTCTGTTAGTGGGAACAGTAATGATATATCTAGCCAAGAAATAGAGTGAGAAATAAAAGGTGAGAAGAGGAGGTTGCTCTATTTCATAGAAATGTCATCACTGTTCCTACTAACAGAAGGTGAGATGTGAGAAAGATGAAGGTGGTATACTGTGGAGTATAAAAAATAGTGACTCTGATGGTGGACAGCCATCACATTTCTCTAGAATTGATGATACTGGATTCCTGCTGTATAACAATGATGTTATCAATTGGCTATTGGTAGTCAATCACAGACCACAAAGATTCACAGGAGGCCTACCTGAATATGTGATCCAGACTTCAGACATCTAGTGATTTGATTGACACCAGTTGTCAAATGTCCATTCCATCACCGGACACGTGCATCCATCTATTATTGATGTTGTCCAAGTCATCAATCATGATCTGGATGTGCAATCCAGGTTACTTGACAGTCTGAACGCCCCCCTGACGATACCAGGTGTGTGAGCCTGTAGGCACCAACTCCCTACATCACATCTATTATTCTTGAACTTACATATACTGGCAGTCACTATAGTTTTAACTTGTTCAATAAATAGACAAACTTATCTATGTGTCATAGCCAGTGGCTCATCTACTTACATAGGGTGCGAGGACAGAATTTTTATGCCGGTTTCAGACATATTTCTGAAGTTGAGTCACCCCAGGTGTATAGAGAATCCAAGTGACAAACATACAAGTATATCAAAGCAAAAACACAAGGCAACATAAACATGATGGTCATTCTACCTCAAACACTTCAAGAAGCGAAATTTGTTGTTCATATCGGTGATAATATTAGACTCATGCAGGGTGACATCAACGGAAAATCATCCCAGAAGTGAAAATTAAAATACATGAGTGAGGGAGGGAGAAGCAAGAAAGAGAATTTTTTGGTTCAAGTTGACCGCATTTTTGCTTATATAATCATTGTCACATCAGGCCACAATAATAAAGCCACATCTTATCATAAGAAATATTCGATGAAACAGCACATTTTTGTGCATATGATCAGCGTCAATCAAACGAAAGCTATATATTGTAATTGGAAGATGCTTGTTGAAATTTTGCAAGTTGGCTTATTAGAAGCAAATAACCAACATTGATATGCTGCCTCCCTCTCTAAGATTGATTTTCCAGCCATCATATGACATGTATGACTGTATCTTGAACTTGTTCCTGAGGTTATTGAACCATCTAAATCGAGTGGGCATGCCCATTTCATGTGTAAAAATCATGTTTCAAATTTGAACACCCCTGTCATGCTGCCTTACCCTCTAAGATCGATTTTTTCAGCCTTCACATGACTTGCCTGGCTCAAGATAGGACTTGTTCTAGAAGTTATTGAGCCTCCTGAATCTGATAGCAGCATCTGTTTGGTGCGAAAAAATCATGTTCCAAAGTCATGAGTTATCAAGTCCTGTTGTGCTGAGGCCCTCACCCAAAGTCAATTTTGTCAGCCTTTGCATGACTTGCATAGCTTGATCTCAGGCTTATTTCTGAAGCCATAGACCAGTAGGAGCAACAATTTGATATGGCAAAGTCATGTTGTTGCAAAGTTGCCCACCTATGGTCAAGTTGACCGCTTTTGCTTATGTAAGCAATGTCACCCCTGTTATGCTGCCTCACCCAATGATTGATTTTTTGAGCTTTCATATGACTTGCTTGGCTTCAAATAGAACTTGTTTCTGGGGTTATTTGGCCGTCTGAATCTGATGGGAACACTGGTTTGGTCCGAAAAAATCATATTTCAGAGTGATGCTACCCCCTCCCCCTACCTACTACCTACTGTGCCCAGAGGCAGGATTCCATGTCGATACTGATGTATAAAAGGATGTTCCTAGTGTTTTTGTATCATATTAAGTGATTGGAGATGGTCTCAGAGTCATCCGGGCCCATGTGAATTGTGATGTGTCAGTTTGCCTGATGCCCCCCCCACAAAGATCGATTTTTCTAGGCTTCCCATGACTTGTCAGTCCTTCAGGAGCATCCTTCCTGGGGGTTATTGAACCCTCTGAACATGATGGTCAAGCCAGATTTGCCAGAAAAAATCATGTTCTTGAGATATGCAAGGTCCCCCTCCCCCTCCTATCTCATATATCTTCATATTATGTGAATACTGATATATCAAAGGATGTTCCTAGTGTTTTATGATCACAGGAATCGATTGGAGATGGTCCCAGATTATTTCTAGCCTGTTTGAATTGAAATATGTCAGTTTGCCTCATACCCCCCACAAAGATCGATTTTTACAGACTTCCCATGACTTGCCAGTGCTCCAAAAGCATTTTTCCTGGGGGTTCTTGATCCATCTGAACACGATGGTCGAGCCAGATTTCCCAGAAAAAATCGCGTTCTTGAGATATACAAGGTCCTCCTCTCCCCTCCTACCTCCTATATTTTGCTGTGCTTGAATTTAACTTAAGACCGATACTGTAAAGGCCTGTCCTAGGGTTTTTTAGGTGTAGGAATCGATTGGTGATGATCCTGGACCACCTGGAGATCAATATTGGTGACATATGGTGGTGGACCCAAAAAGTCAATATTTTGGCCATATCTCCACAACCCAACCGCCGATTTCTTTAATTGTTGGCTCATATCATTCCTAGAAGTACCCTCCATGATATGTACCAGCCCATGAAAAGAAAGTTTTTCACAAGTTTGAAACCTATTTCTGAAATGACCATATAAATATTCTTCTGTTCCCTGCAGCGCGCGGATCCTACGCTTTATCGGTCTACAGACTTTGAAAGAAGCAATGCGCTATGACAAGTGATACGTCACGTCCTCTGGATCCTGGGCGAGTACGTCGAAGGCCCGTCAGACATCAAGCCACATTAATATTCTCGGACATCCGCAAAGTGCTTGCGAGATCCCTATTCTTGCGAGCGAGCAGCGGTTACTGGATGAGGCTAGCAGAGAGGAGGACAGGAAGGAGGACAGGAAGGTCGAGGGAAGCGGGCGGCAAAAGGTTCTTGCTGACGGGACATGTGCGACAGAGACGGCGTACACCAGCACCAACTCAGCGAGATGTGACTAGAAGCTGTCAAGACTGCGTCCAAGCCACCCTAAGTCACCATTAAGAGAAGTGTGTGGCGTACCCGTTCAACGTTTATTTCCGAGTCGTTCAAACTTTTCGGGATGTGATGTTAGCTCTGATATTAGAAGGCGACTTTTTTTCACGGGTTTGGTACTTGCCTCGGCGCTGACAGAGCTCGTGTTACGATTGAGTCGATGACCTTACAAACGACCGGCCAAAGGCCAATGCTTTCCGTGCTGGGGTACGTACTACTTTTAATGGTTCTACTATCATATTCACTGACGCCCACCCAGTCCATGTTGATCATGGCGTCTATTATCCACAATCGCCAGTCGAAGTTTGTCACGGGTACCGATCGACGAGGATTCCAACGAGCGCATTCTTAACAAACCCTAAGCAAGCCTCCGTCGTCCACGATATCTTCTTGAAGGACACGAAAGCGGCATGCTCCAAGATGCTCGTCACTCCGGAGGTGCGTGCCTAGTCTACTGCAAGCTGTGATGTTACTGATGATCGGACAGAAAAAGCAGCGGAAAAGAAAGAATCAGAAAGCACGAAGGAACATGTCGTACAAGTCGATGACTTGCTTACTTTCAGACAGTTCTCGGAAAAATCGGCGGATGATCCCATTGATGTAGGATTTTGTTACCGGTTGATTATATGCCACTCATTTTTATCAGTACGTGGAAAACTTAGGCAAGAAGACGGGGGCTGCTGAAATCCGGGAAGACTTCATATCCAACCTCAGTCGCATATCCCAGCTCACAGGTATGTTTTGTAGTGCAGCCGTCATCTCGAGTTTCGGTGCTCATCACTTTCAGGTTTTTCGGATCCTATATATGCAGAAGCATACGTCAAGTCAATACTATGCTTGGTGTGTATACTTGATGGGCTATTTCATGGGCGACAGTCGTTAACGGTACTCAGAATGTGCTTCTGGTCAATCAGACGTCCAATACGCTGCAGAATCTTTTCGCGACGCTTGGTGACCTCAAACTGGTCGAGTGACCTGCTGTATATACCATAGCGCCTCACGGTTTCAAGGGTATCAAGGCCACAATCAAGGTAACAACCAAAGATAATCGATAATCCCCCGCTCATCCATATTAATTGTGTATCATAGGTCTCATCAACAGGCGTTATATTTGGCAGCATCCTATGGGATGGCCCTGCCCTCGCTGAATGGTGTGTTATCTTGAACGACATCGACATCGACATCGACATCTTGGACTATATCAAGCCTGCATGCTGTAGCGAGACACAGGTATATCTTTAATACCTGTTGCGGCTGTCCAAATAATCATTCGCTACCCTCAAGTTCCGAAGCATGTGGACAAAGTTTGAGTGGGGAACGGGGTTAACGTGTCGACGAGCATGTCGTATGTCTCCCAGTGTTCTCTTATCCAGTCCCTAGCTAACGCGCTCGTGTAGTGACTCTCGCGACTACCTGAAGACTGAAGTACGTCATGAAATCTACGAACATGTCTTGTCTCACGCCAGAAGGAGCTAGGTCGGGCGATTGGGATTTCCTATCTGCCAACATGTACGCTCGAAGTTTCATGATGATTGACGGTGATGTATTTGTAGCTCAAAAGGGTAGCAAGCCATTGACATAGAGCGCGTGGACGTCCATTAGGTTGCTGAAGTGCACACATAGTCTTCATGTATAATGTTGTACTCGGGTTGGGAAGGAGACATGTGAATGATGCAACGCTAATACGTAGTGATCGATCTTTACATCAATAGGTACTCAAGCTTCAAGCTTCAAGCCTGCAAGTACAGTCCCCTATATCGTCAAACCTCTCAGCAACCTCGGCAACGTGAGATCGGTTAGATACCCTTCTTTACCTTCATCTCCATTCACATGTACCTTGCCATCTATCTTGAAAGCCCTGGTCTCCGCTCGCTGAAAGAGTGCGAAGGGGATCAGAAACCAGAAGCGTACGCACCACCCGACATTACCATCCCCATCCTATGCAATATATGTCACCTGGCTAAAAGCCCCTAATCATTGGGGACGTCCAATAAACGCTGGCCGCAGAAAGATAGATTAAAGTCAAAGTTGGGTGTACATATTGTGGAGGTATAGAGTCTCAAAGTCTGGAATATCGAAGTCCTTGGCAACAGGTTGCGTGTGGCCACGACTGGATGCTACACACGAAGTCGTCAGATTGTCTCAAGAATACTTCAATCTACAAGGTAGGAGGACACACGGAATTCATCATATGCCAATATGCACGAACACTATGCGCTGGTCCAAGGGCATATCCTCATCAGAAGCCAATGACTGGACCGCTTGGTGCAGCGCTCGGGCGGCTCGTTTAGAATTCATTTTTCCATCCCCGCAAAAGTTTTTGTAGAATGCATCGACTAAGCGCTGTACAGTACTATCGTTGACCTTCCATAATGTCCCAATAACACTCTTCACCCCTGCAAATTGTAGGCCAGCCGCTAAGTGTACCACTTCATCAGGAGTACTCGAGTCACCGACTGCAGTTTCACAGGCAGAAAGAAATGCAAATTCATGTTGAGACAGATCCGTCTGTGTGATATCGAGAAGTGAAAGCGGTTGGTCGCGCATGAGAAAGGCCCAAATTGAAGGGGTCCTCATATTTCTGTGTCCCATGACACGAAAAATGGAGCCAAGTATTATCTTGCAGCGCGCGCAGTGCCCTCGATTTCGTTGCATCAACGCTCGTTATCTTGGTGAAGGAAACAGTTGGGGAAGGGGGCAAAAGACTCCGCACTAATTCCAGTTCAGGCTCCACACAATCCAAAGTGAATGAAGCACCAGCTGGGCAATTCTGACCAATGGCAGCAAAGGACACCAACAGGGACCTGTCATGTCCGCGAGCACTTTATCAGCGCAGTAAGCGATGGCATGTAAGAAGAGATGTAGAGTTGTGAAAGGAACTGCCCATGTTTCCTGTACTCGCCACCAGCGTGCAATGGCAGGAAATTGAAGACAGATGTCAGGCACCACCATATTTGAGAACCTCGTCATGCAAATCCACCAAGATTTTCAACCACCGGATGGACGATGTCGTCCCACAACTCCATCAAGGCTTTTTCAGCGATGGTTTACTTGTGCGTTGGAGTTTGACCACCAAAGCCTGGAGTTTCTCAAGATTGGTAGGGAGTTGAATGCTAGTCGGAGGTTGCTTGTGTGGGATAACAATGGCATCGCAAGACGACTCACTTGCGATGAGCACGATGACAGGCCCATCACGAGCTGCATGTTGAAGATCGGTGAATACGGGGGGAAGGAGGAAGCGAGAGAAGCCCTCGATCTTCCGGATCTCTTCTACAGCTCTGTTCCAGTCCTTCACCAAACATCTGTACCAGGTTTCTTCTGCTTCTACATCGACTCTTGGGGTTGCTTCTGGATAGTTCACAGGAGATTTATCGAGGAGGGAGCTGAGGTCTCTGAATTTCTCCACCAGGGCCGCTGCGTGATTGTCACGTGTTTGGAGGCTGTCAAGAGGTGTGCGGAGTCGTGTCATCTGGGTCCAGATGATAGTCCTGCCTTGTTCCAACAATTCAACAGCGCGACACACGTCACCACTACGAACAGCACACGATGCAGCGTCCACAGCAAGTGTACTTGGGAAGTCCTGCATGATATGATGACGAGATGATACTGAAGCTGTCGTGGACATATAAGTGTCAAGAAGTTGCATGGAAGTTGCATGGGCATCCAGTTCCAGTTCAGTATCATGTGAATATTGACGAACATAGCGAACCCAGCGCAGACTGGCTTTCAGGCGAAGCAGGAAACCTGCAGAGACAACATTTACTGCTGCCTTGAGATGATGCATGGCAGCATTCAGACTGTCAGTATCTTCGCCCACGCCGGTGTCGTCAAACCCTGAATGATGGAATAATAGATGGACGGCAGCGAGCGATAAATGGGCATTTACTTGACGAGGATCATGTTGCGTGAACATAGTCAATGCACAGCGTAGGTTCTCTCGTGACTCGTCGAGGTCTTCTCTATTGCTTTGGTGGGCAAAGTGGGTGAAGAGTTGATCCGCAAGGTTACTTAATAATGAGGGTCAATCTATGTGACCAACTGGGCACACAGCCAGCGCTTCCCTGTGAAGTGCGATGGCCTGATCCAAGTCTTCATCGTCGCCTCGGTGGTCAAAGCGGGTGGAGAGTTGAACCGCAAGATTATTTAATGACGAGGACCGATATGTGTGACCGACCGGGAACAAAGCCAGCGCTTCCCTGTGAAGTGTGATAGCCAGATCCAAGTCTTTGTCGTTGCCTTGGTGCTCAAAGCGGGTGGAGAGTTGAATCGCAATGTTATTGAATGATGTTGGCCAATCTGTGTGACCGACTGGGCGCAAAGCCAGTGCTTCCATATGGAATTTGATAGCCTGGTCCAAGTCTTCGTCGTTGCCCCCGGTGCTCAAAGCGGGTGGAGAGTTGAGTTGCAAGGTTATTTAATGACGAGAACCAATATGTGTGACCGACTGGGCGCAAAGCCAGCGCTTCCCTGTAAAGTACGATAGCCTGATCCAAGTCCTCGTCGTTGCCTCGGTGGTCAAAGCGGGTGGAGAGTTGATTCACAAGGTTATTTAATGACATGGACCGATCTGTGTGACCGACCGGGCGCAAAACCAGTGCTTCCCTCTGAAATGTGATAGCCTGGTCCAAGTCTTCGTCATTGCCTTGACGTTCAAAGCAAGTTTGCAGCATTACGCTCAGATTACCTAGCAATTGCCCTCGGAAAGTATGCTCGGTGTTGTAGTCTCCCAGTGCGTCATAATGAAAGGATATCACTTTATCTAAGGGACAGGATGCATCTCCCTGCAAACACCGCTCTGCTCGATCGGCAAGTTGATCCTGCGATAATGCAGCGGGCCACTCCTGCCCGAGATCACTTGCATCGAAGCTTCCAGCCTGATGCAGAGCAGATATTTCCATTGCAAGTAAAGCTGTTCTGTAAATGTGGCTGTCATCGTGGCAGACATTGAGGACTTCGCACAGTAACTCTTCAGCCACATCAACATCCTTCTGAAATCCCTGTTTCGTGAAGCGAGACAGCAGAGCAATGGCAAGATGGAGCTGGGTGACAGGTCGGTCTGGATGACCAGTGGGACGTAAATCAAGGGTGTCTTGAAAGATGGAGATAGGGACGTCGAGGTCAGGGTTCGTTCCATTAGTCTGGCAACTAACAAACTTTGCGGTAGCTAGATTGACCAGTGCTGCAGGACGACATGGATGATCCATGGGGCAGATATCCAAGGCATGTTCAAAGTGCTGTATGGATTGGTCGAGATCCTTACGATTCTGCGTTCTGCGGTATTGTGCGAGAAGACCATGTCCGGCATCCGTCAATGCACGCATATCGTCAGACATAAACTACGCATTACAAGCCTCAGCATCTGAATATCAGACTGCATTAATCACTCACGGTAGTAAGGGGGCAAAGAACTGTGGCATCATTTTCATCAGGACGTCGCTCCACTGTCATAAACAATGAAGTGCACGAAAACATGACTTCCTCCTGCTCGGGCTGAAAGATGATAGCTGGGATACTCGTTAACATCTGTCAGACAACATTTTCAACCGAAGTTACTGACGATGTGGCTTTTCACTGCGGTTCAGTAATTCTCCAATGAAACTATCAAATGTGCCAAGGACTTCTCCATGACAGAGCATGGGACCCAGTTCAAATGAGGCATACACACTGACCCGAAGTTTAGAAGATGGCTCGCACGGCCTAGAATCTTTCTCAATACCTGCAGGAAAGACGGGATTAAGGATAACTTACAGAAGTATGCACTCGTTCCATTCGATGACAGCCTGATCAACGCAGTGTACGAGTTTGTTGCTTGTCTGGCATTCAGCGCCGTCAGTCTTTACTACCACATGGAAACCAGCGGGGATCCATCAGAGACCAACAACAAGATCAGGTGCGCGAATGGAATTGTCGATATGGAAAGTTGCTTGAATGGCTTGGAAATCGTCAATACACGCTGAACGGAGACTGGTATCACATACCAGTAATGACGACTTGTTGCATCTCAGTGATCTGTGTCTGTCCCGGGTCCTGGGGTTCTAAGTGGCTTGGCTCACCATTCAAGGCTTGAAGGGTTTCATCGAGTGGGCCTGGCACGGGGTCCGTCGCGAAACGAAACAGCAGAGTAATGACGAAATAAAGTGTCGTCAGAATTGCTTATGGAAATCATTGGTACGTGCTAAATGAAGATAGATGAAACATACATACTATTGATGGCGACTTGTAGCATTTCACTGATCACGAGGTTTGTCTGCCCTGGGTCCTGGGGGCATTCTGGGTGGCTCGACTCTTCTCCCGAGGGTGAAGGGTATTCATCGAAGTGACCAGGTACGAAGCTTGGCATATATGGCTGAGGGATGGATTCAAACTAATACTTGAGAGTGAGATGTGTGCCAGAGGTCACGAAAACTACAATACCTGTGAGGTCCTGAGTCCTGACAGACTAAAGGAGGAAACCACAGCATGCACGTGGCATTCACATCGCACAGCCTCAGATGGGTAGCGCCAAACAGGGACCTGCGGATATCACTGTATCTATAACTATGAGGGCAAAGCCTGGTAAAGCCAACAATCTGTATAATAGAATGGACACACTGGCAGCACTGCTGTGAGGAGCAGTTGTAGCTCTTGGTCACGATGATCTTCTTCCAGAAATTTGATTTGCGGACATGCCAGGGACACTTCATTGAGTACGATATCGAGTGTGCAGTTAATTTATCGTCTGTTGTATACGTCGCATTAGATTCGAGTTTGAGGTATTTTGAGCGAACGATATGTTATAAAGGTGATCACTGGGTGACAAATTCTTGAGAGAATGGAACGATCAGCTATATATATATATAGAGGGCAATGAGCGAAACGACTGGAGAGAAGAGTGCATTCAAGGCACCTCCCAAAGTGGATTTGAAGAAACGAAACTAAAGAAACCAGTTGCAGCGGCAGTGGGAAAGCATTTGAATATTGGAGGTTCATTTGGCTTCGGTTGTACTCAGCACACATGGGTTCAAGCTTTAAGTTATTAACATGTTGAGAGAACTGGGTCGCTCGGAAAGAACATGGCTCATTGCGTATATAACAACATGTATATGACGACAACAAGAGCACTATGAGAATGATGCAAAGATGTGTGAGACATGAAGCTAGGATGAAGAGCAAACGGAAATGAGGAAATAGATGAGCGCCTGGGACGAGCAAAGCACAAGCTAACGTATTTCCTGCGCAGCGGGAGACTCTGCTATCAGTAAAAGCGTCGCTTTGTTTTCAACCTGTATCACTTGAAGTTGGTAAGACGTATTAATGTCTTCAACAACGTGGCGGTGTGCTCGCCAAGACGTGACTGAAATTAGTCGAGAATTGCCTCCTGCGTCAGCAGAAACTCTGTTTGACGATGTGAGTTTGAGGTGCACGGAAGGGGAGGTACCGTACATACCGAGGGAGTGTTTATGCCTTCAACGGTGAAATCTTGTTCGGTAACGGGCGGAGTCAGAGCCTGTGTCACATAGGCGCAAACTCATCTAACACGCACGCGCCAAACCCTAGATCGCCGCCAGATCGGGACGCGCCACTTGACTTCTCGAAGAGCCGCGGTGTAAAATACCTTTAAAATAACGTCCAAGCATTTTGTTCGTATTTATTCCTTGTCACCACTAATACCAGTTATAAATATTGACCCCCAATGGCGACACCCGCCGGGCCACCCACTGGTATTATCTTTGCATTTAACATACCCCGCTCCATGGGCCACAACACCTGCCTCAGCGAGTTCACTACTATGGTTGCGATAGACACAAGTATGTGCTGCATCGTCGAATCTGTTAAATGATGTTGACCTTGCGAAGATACTTACCAGGATCGGAACGACATTCTCCGCCGCATAGAGGCCAAATTAGAAGTCCTAGAATCCGGTGTCTCTGACATGAAAGAAAAAGTCTTGGGACGGGGGCCTCATTAGATGCCATCAACAAACCGTTCCAGGACATCATGGACAACAACAATCGTACTTGTATCCTCGCGCAGGACATGAATAGCACCGCGTAGCGCATTAGTAGCACCTTGCAGGACATTAGCAGCACCGCGCGGGACATTAGCAGCACCGTTGGACCAGGGGTCCCAAGGGCAGGAGCTACGCACCAAGGGTCCTATCGGCCCTTTCCACAGCTTAGTCAGCATGTAGACTAAGTTTCACCATGTTCGTAGCTAGCATCCATCATCATCTCAGCTTGTCTGCCTTTCTCTGGGCTTAGGCCGCTGGCCCTGTTCCACCGTGCAGGACATTAGGGGCATCGCGCAGGACATTAGGGGCGATGTTGCGGTTCTGAGGCCAGGAGTTGAAGCCATGAAAGTTAGTCCAATAGAAATTCGAGACGCCTTAGCTACACAGGAGATGTAGGAACACCTGAAATTGGCTGTATCGTTTGGCTGATTCCAGGTATTGACAATGGTACAACCCTACTTTGAGACGAGCCAGTCAACTCCTGCGTTGACTCGGATGTATGTTGATACTGGCCGCTTCAATATTTGATTCCAAGGTAAAGGTGCCTTGTTGAGGTGCCAGGGAGATTAGTACCTGAACCTTCCGTACGCACATGCATGCATTCACCTGCATGCAAAAAGTAATGTCTCGACATGCCAGATTCCCCACAGGGGTCTTTAAATTCCGACAGATCGTATGAGGCCCATAGCAACTTTCTTTCTGGTGTGCCAATGACATTTGGCATTTTGAGAATCGGCTTGTTAATGTGTCTAATGCCCAAGAGTACCATCAGCAACATATCCCCAGTATCTTTTACGACTCGCTATTCGCCAGCTCTTTCCCCACTTGATAACAATGAGGAAAGTCATCGTAATAGCAAGCCCGACGAAGCCTGCAGATATAAATGTGTTCTGGTAACCCATGTAAAGCCAAGGGGTGATCCCATATCCCTGTAAGAACACGCGTCAAAATGTTAAGGCAAAGTAAATGTCTCGACTTACAATAGCAAACGAAAGGGTATTCTACATTCAAGAAAACTCATATTCAGTATGAGTGCAAAAGGCGACGAGTTGGCGTACTTACGCGAACAAGGATGACAGCCATCATTACCTCCCCACTCATGTCTTTGTATGAATCCAGGGCGTAGTTTATAGAAAGTGAAGAGCCAATACCAGTTGAGCAAGAAATGATGCCCATGCCAAAGACGAGGCCGACCCAACTGATGCCCTTGGACGCACCAACTCCCCAGAGGATGAGAGAAGCTGGACATAAAAGAAGCGAAACAACCATGAGCCAAAGGCGATGCTCTGGCTCTCGGATACCGCGCGTTCGACGAGCATATCTCACAGCAAACCGATCACCCACCCACCCACTATAGAATGTTCTGCACCAATGTCAGAGGATATTACGAGGGCAACTAGGAAGAAATTTACCCAAGAAACATGCCAATCAAAGGGCCGAGGTAGGTTAATCCGACAAAGCTCGCTCTGAAGTTATAGGGTTGTTCGCTGAGGATCAATGAACAAGTGGCATTCAGGACGTTATACCACACGAGACATGTTCCATACTGAAACCCTGCCCTATTGAAAAAGTCAATTTGCATTCTCTACATTTCCGACGGACGGCTTACCAGAAAATGACAGGGAAGCGCAGCAGAATTACGGGACGGTACGTCATCGTGAGCAGCAGCTTGTTTGACGCATAGCGCCCACCAAATAAAGCGAGCCGTTGCGAATATGTTTTAGGTATGCCTGTCAAATCCCCAGAAGGGACAGGAGATGAAGTAGTTGATTCCTTGTCGTCTTTCTCAGCACCTGGTTTGGTACTGAAGCGCACGGCTTCTGTCGCTTCACTTGTATTGCGTACGAAGTTTGTCTACACTTAGGTGTAAGTAATAATCAGTACTAATCACATGCGACGCACCTCTTCCATAAAGAAAAACAACACTATGAGAGAACCGAAGTTTATGATCGCAGCCCAGTACATCACCCAATGCCATCCTTGGCCATCATATATGAACTTGATCAAAAATTAGGACGAAACTTAGAAACTGATGTGCAATTTGGTACGCACACCAGCGATGAGTGGTGCAAAGTAGTTTGACCTGCTCGCGAGGTCAGCATAAGTCGAAGTTTATACACTGAAGACCGACCCAAACAGAAAGAGCGTGTAAATTCCAATATACGTTCCACGTTCATGCGCAAAGAACTATTAGGTGAAATGAGCTTATTTGAATAGACAGAGATCTTAGTGGGCTTACTGTATCTGCAATGCTGACTTCGCACAGACTCTCGACAGGAGTGCAGAGATAACCCTGTACGATTTTGCTGGCGATCCTGGTGGTAAATGATTAATGAGTGGCGTTTAGCTGTAAAGTGTGCTGCATACCACTGGCCTTCCGTCTTGATGTACGGCGTCAACAGACAGATGGCCTGCCAAAGATTTAAGTTGTCAATATCTTGCGGTCACAAACTCTTACAGTGTTGCCCAGGACTGAAATCAGATATATACCACGCTTTCCAAAGGTAAGAGCGAGCGGCTGGTTTATCAGCGCTCCCCAGCCTAAGACTAGTATTCCGACATCATCTAAAACTGATCATGGGGGACAATGACGACGACATACAAAGAAACACTGTTCATAACAAAAATGGCACCGTTGAATATAAACACGAGAAGAAATATAGAGACAAGCCCACTGTATCCGGTGCCCGCATTAAGCGTTGCAAGAGGTATTCCCGTATCATTGGAAATAGGCTGCAAGATGGAGTACAGCATGGTTGTCCCAATGCCGATAGCGCTTGTGTCTGTAGACTGAGTAAGAGTCCAAACATCATCCGTCAGTTCTTAAGACACACATATCATCACGCAGACGATCTGCAAAAGTTTCCGGCCTCTACTCCAGTTCAGAGGATCGTTAATATCACTCGAAGGCGTCGGACTGAGCACAATGGCACTGTCATTTCCTGCGTGCACAACCGTCGTTTTCTCCTGGACGTCGACAAGGTAGACTGATCCAGGCACTACGGAATCATCAATGTCGTGCATGATGTAAAGCGAAGCAGGGAGACCTTCCAAGTGGAAAATACAATATCGACGGCAGCGAACTTGCATTATATGGACAATTGAGGGACCGATAAGGAGCTAAATTCGGGAGAAGCATCTATCTAACTTTAGACCGCGACTAGAGATAAGTGTTCTCCAAATTGACTGACGGAGGTGCTGAAAGATGCGATGAGCCTGCCAAGAACGCGCGGCGTTGCCATCGTTGCAATGTTCGATGTACGTCATACATTCATGTCAATGAGAGGAGACTCAAGTCACTCTGGCACAATCTGTGGCTCCTGCCATGGATGGAACCAAAACTTTTATCA